CAGGCTGACATGGTCTCAGGCTACACAGTGTTGCAGGGCTTCGTCTCTGATGTTCGGCTGCCAGGCCTTTGCCAAACTTTGCTGAAGCGTGTGCATGGGAATTCGGTGCTCCTGGGGTTGCATTAGCCTTGCCTGGCTCTGGCATCATGTTACTCTAAAACAGAAGTGCATTTCTGTTGTCCAGCTGCTGGACACTCCTTCTGTGAAATCCCCTTTCCTTGATTTCCATCACACCATCCTAGCTTGGATTTTTTGCTACTTTGTGACTGTCCTTTGAAAGAAACAACCAAACCCCCCTAAAACTCCTCTGTGTCTTGCAGTTCTCTTCCACTGCTTAATCTTTAATTTTATTTTGGAAACATTTATGCATAAACAACACACACAAGTATATGCAAGTATACCTGCATGTAGGTATTCATATGTGTGTACATGTACATGGGTGTATATGTGTGTAAAGAAAGTAGTCAGTGGAAAGAAAGGTCTGCACCCCCCAACCCCAGTTTCCCATACTCTTAGTTTGGTTACAAGCATGGCTCGGCAGACCTCTCCTGACCCGCCCGCTGCTCACCTCAGCAGTGGACTTCGACGGTCAGCCTGTTCTGCTCCCCACTCTGTCTCTGGTGAATCTTCTCACCGCCCTTGCACCTCTGGCCTGCACCCCAGTTCTGTATGCATAAATAAATAAATCTTTATAAGAAATAAATGTGTGTGTGTGCACGTTCACATGTGTGCAAATATAAGAGCTCCATGGGCGTAGTTTATACGTATTGTCATCGAGACGCCTAGATATAAATGCTCCCTGCATACCACTACTCCCTTGCTCATCCAGTCAATGATTTACAAAGCAGCTAGTACATGCAAGACACTGGCTGGGGACAGGGAATACTCTGGTGAGCAGACTGTTGCCACGGAGTTTATGACCTGTTGGAAGAAATGGGTAATTAAAACCATAGAAAGTCGGATAATTTGCAATGATGAGAGGTGATTAGCAGTCAGACCTGCTGCTGTGACAGGGCGGAGAGGTGACATCCCTGGGCCGCCCGCCAGCCTGCCACAGCCAACAGCAAGCCAGCAGACACGGCCCCTGTGTGACAAGGCGCCCGCCTGTGAAGACGCGTGAGCGGTGGGACCAACAGGGGGAGCCGGCACCCACGTGCGCCAGGGTCGAGGCCGGCTCTTCACTCTTGTCCACCTTGCTTTTTCACTTAACAGCATCCATGACAGATGGTTCCTTCTCTGCCACAGATAAGATGGCTCCATTGTTTTTGGCAGCTGCAAATAATTCCACCCGAGGCCTAAACTGTAATTTACTTAATCTGCCATATATCGACATTTAAACAATTTCTAATCTTCTGCTGATCTGAGCCATGCTGACATGAATATTTCGGAACACATTATTTGCCCACAAGGCAAATGCATTTGTAAGGTCAAATCCTGGAAGTAGAATTACTGGAACAAATGATGGGTCATTCATTCTAATTGATACTTCACTGAAGCGCCCTCCACAGAACCGAGAAAGCCAGCACCCGCTTCTCCCGCCAAACCTCGCGTTCATCTTCTTGAACATTGTCAAAATGAGTGCTCCAAGGTCTTTTTTATGATGCTATTTTGCATTTCTCTTGGAGACTGTTTTCCTAGGGGCAAAGCAATTTGCATTTCCTTTCGATTTATACCCCTTGCCCACTGATCTTGGGATTGGCCAGCATTCTCTCTACAGGAGTGAAACGAGACTTCCACAGAGTACATATGATTTCTTAGCTTGTCTCCCTGCCTTCAGTGTGTTGGGACAGAGCCGTATGAATGAAGCTTTTCATAAACGAGCTTGTGGCATTCTCCCCAGCCTCCTGCAGGGCTGTGGCATCCCAGGGGCCTGTCTTGGAGCAGTTCTGTCCTTCCTCCCTGGACAGTCCATGCTGCAGCTGACTCACAGGTAGTTTCTCCAGCCTGACGCGCCTGCCTCACTCCCAGGCGCCACCCCTATGTCTCCACACGGGCTACAGACATAATCCACACTGAGCTCGTCGCCTCCTTCTCATTGTGCCTTCAGGTTGGTTCTTCTTCCTGTGCCCGCCCCCTGAGGCAGCCATGTTTTTCCAGAAAAAAAAAATCAGTATCATCCCCGACTCCTCTTTCTTTTTTATCCCTAAGCACTTAGTAAGCACTGAACTCTTTTCTTCTTATTAAGAAATTTATTATCATTTTGTGTACATTCATCTTGTCTTTCTTTTCGTAAAAAGCTTTTGTGTGGTGAAATGGAAGGAAATAATGGATAATTGACTATATTACTGTGGAAATATGAACTATATAGACATATATTACATTTACATGCATATACATACTGAATGAGACAGGACTATAACTCATTTTCCAAGTGAATAGTTCCTTTGAGTTTCAATGAATGCTTATGTATATTTTAAAAGATATATTTATGCATACAGAACTGAGGTACAGGTCAGAGGTATGGGGTGGTGAGAGGACTCCCCAGAGACAGAGTGGGGAGCAGACTAGGCAGATACACTGAAATACACTGCTGAGGGGAGCAGCGGGTGCGTCAGGAGAGGTCTGCTGCACCACGTGGTCAGCTCCCTGGCCGGGGATCAAACTCGTGCTGCAGTGGCTGCGGTAGCTTCATAGTGCTCACTTAAGCCCGTTGTGCCACCAGGGAGAGACTTCTAAGTGCTTTTTGTGAAGTGATGGCTCACTAAACTCTTCTACTTGCAACATAAGCCACACAAATTTAGCAACGTTTCAGCTTAAATCAAACAAATGTTTAATACAGAAGTCACCAATGTAGAGAACTGATCAGCTGTATTAAATGATTTATGAATCCGGCAGCGTCCCTCTAGATACTTCCAGTCTGCATCAATTTCTACTAGTCTACCTTCTCCATGTTTCCGTAGCTGTCCCTTTCTCTGCATTTCTGTTATCACTTCCCTAAAGAGGGTCAATTGCGCCTCTAACCCACTTTCCTATACTAGCTTCCTAATAACACTTTATTTTTTATTTTTATAATATTTATTTTTACATCATTTTGTGCCTTTTTCCATCTCAGTTGTAATCCCCATGGGCTTCCCATCACCACCACATCACCCGTGTGCCATCACCACAGTCCCATGCACTCCCCCCACCTCCATTTTTGACCCCATTCCCTACTCCACCCCCATAAAGTGTCTCTGGTATATAGCTGTTCCCTGATGGACACTTTTTGTCGTGTCCTCCCAAGTGCGTCCTCTGTAGTATTCAGTGTTCAACCTGATCACATCGCCCCCCACTCCTCTGAGTAGACACCTCTGATGGCAGCTCCCACTTCTCCTTCCTTCTCTCTGCTACTCACCACCCCCAACCCCCCCCCCCCACTTAACTGTCTAGTTCTTGTCCTGGATCTATCATTCAATAAACACTTATTTGTTTCATATAGGGAGAAATAAATACATCTGGGATTTTCCTAGCACAGCCTAGAAAATTTGTTCCCATTTGTTTTGTAGCAATTTGATCCCTTTACTTTACGAGGACAGACTGATGTAACAGTACACAGAAATAGTTACATCAGAAGAATTTATTTTGTTTGTAATAAATTTCTATTAGAATTTAGAATAAATATAGTAGAAAACTATATGTCTTACAAGTCAATGGAGGTTAGGGATTCTTCCTCCTTAAGTCTCCCCACTTGGTCTTTGATAGCAACATTTCCTTTAGCTATGGGCTGATTAAAGCACCTTACACACCTAGGAGCTCACACTATGTCTTTGTCCATGTAACACTGGGAACGCCGCAGCACACCTCACACTCGCTCCCCTCCTCTTTGCTCCAGAGCCAATGGGGGGACAGTTTCCAGGCCAGTGGGACTCATGTTTTTATCTCAGAGATGGAGGATAAGAAGTCTCTCTGATTCACCGAGGAAGCTCCAACATTCTTTATCTTAAATAATAACTTCCATCTATAAAAGTGATCCAGTCAAAATGATTATGAGCCATTTGGAAAATGTGCAATGCAGAAAATAAAAGCCACCACATTTTGTTGGGTGATATCACCCACCCCGTGGCCTCAGAAGCCACTGGTGACGCCAGATCTGTCACCCCCCCCCACCCCCCAAGCTTCTTGGGCAGGATGGTCCCGGGTTGTCCTGGAGCACATCATCTTGACATGTCCAGGACAGCGCCCCCCACTCCTCCCTCTCTCTGCCCCTGCTCTTAGCTTCTCCTCCATCTACTGGAGACCGAGCTTAGAAATAATCCCCACTCCTCTTTCTTCTTTGCCCCGACATCCCACCCAGGCTCTGCATATGTCTTGACTGCGGGATTACGGGATCCCGAGAACCCCGCAGGCACTCAGAGCCGTCTGCGGATGCTTTTCCAGGTCCCCCACAGACACCTGCTGGAGCTCATGCCAATACCTGCTCCAGCACGGTGCCCCTGCACCTTGGCGCAGACCCCCAAGCTGGCCCCCACGCCCAGCTCCACTCTCCCACGTGGTCAGAGGACATCCGAGGAGGGCAAGTCACCAGTCGCCAGGGAACTCAAGTCCTTCGGGGCTCACCGGGTCCTCCCCTATGCACCGCAGGGTTGCGCCACCATCTCTGCTGGGTACCCTTCATCCTCTTCATCTGGCTGGCCCCCCAACCCCCCGCCGCCCCAACCCTACAGTTCTCCACAGTGGTCCCTCAAGCAGCTGTCTGGATTTCCCTCTCCCCTGTGTGAGCCCTGGCTCGGGCTGTCTGCCCTCAGGTCTGTGGTGTGCCAGGGGTTGCCCAACTCTCCATGGCCAGCCGGCCACCTTGAGCAGGCCCCAGCGCGGGGAGGGGTTGAGGGTGTGTGAGGGTGGTGGTGGGGGGTTGGGGGTAGAGCCCAGCAGGTCCTCAGCGCGCCTGCGCAGACACTTTTCCGGGTTCTCTTTCCTGAACACGGTCCTTGAGCTCCCCCGAGGGTCCCCCAGACATCTCTGCTGGAGGACACTGCTGGAGCAGCGCGGTCACTCCGGCCCCTGGCTGCGGGCCCCCAGGCTCACCCAGACCTGCCCGAGCGCAGCCGCCCCAGCACCCTGCGGATGGCGGCGGCGATCTCGCGGTTGCGCAGGCTGTAGATGAGCGGGTAGAGCAGCGGCGTGACGTTGGTGTAGACCAGCGCCAGCGTGCGGTCCCGCCGCGGGGCGTAGGTGTACTTGGGCCGCACGTACATGTAGGTGGCGCAGCCGTAGTGCAGGAAGGTGACCGCCAGGTGCGAGGCGCAGGTGGAGGCGGCCTTGCGCCGGCCCTCGGGGGAGCGCAGGCGGTGCAGGGCCGAGACGATGGCGCCGTAGGAGGTCAGGATGAGCATGGAGGGCAGCAGCAGCAGCACCATGCAGGCGCCCAGCAGGGGCAGCTCGTCCATGTAGCTCCGCGTGCAGGCCCGGTGCAGCAGCGCCGTGATGTCGCAGAAGAAATGCACCAGCAGGCAGGAGCCGCAGAAAGGCAGGTGGAAGACAGCCACCGTGAGCCCCACGGACACCGCCAGTCCCCCCAGGCAGCAGGCCAGGGCCAGCCGCCCACACAGCCCTGGGGTCACCAAGGCCCCGTAGCGCAGCGGGTGGCAGATGGCCACGTAGCGGTCATAGGCCATGGCGGCCAGCAGGAAGCACTCGGTCCCGCCCAGCGCCACAAACATCTGCATCTGCACCGCGCAGCCCAGGTAGGAGATGGGGCTGCCCCGGCCCTGGATGGGCATAGCCAGGTCCGCTAGGCAGCGGGGCACCACCACCAGTGTGTAGCAGAACTCGATGGCCGACAGCTGGCACAGGAAGAGCAGCATGGGTGGCCGCGTGGGCACGGAGATCACCGACACGAGGATGAGCAGGTTGCCGCTCAGGGTGGCCAGGTGCACGCCCAGCAGCACCAGGAAGAGCGCTGGCCGCAGGTGTGGGAACTCGGAGAAGCCCTGGAGGAGGAAGCCGCAGGGCGCGGAGGCATTGCTGGGGCTCTCCATGCGCTGGCGGCCCCTGTGGAGAGGAACCGGAAGGCCAGCTACAGCTACGGGGTCGCCCCCTCTGGCCCCAGGGCCCACTGCAGATGGGAGGGGTAGTGGCGGAGAGGTGGGGGCGGGGGGCGGGCTCAGCGTTCCCAGCCCCTCCCCAGGAGGGACACCTGTCACTGGCTCAGGAAACTTTGCCTTTGTCCTGCGCCTGAATTACTGTCCCTAGGCTGCTTCCTCAATATGCTCTTTCCAGAGAAACTTGATTCAGGTCAGATCCTTCCATACCTTACTTTGAGCTCCCGCACAAAGAATCCCCCACCTCCATACTCCAGTCGCGATTTTGTGGGCCCCCAGTCTGAGCTCTGGGTGGGGGATGCGGCTCTCCTCCTCCCCGGCCTGTCACTGCACGGTTGCTTTCTGCAGTGACCCCATCACAAAAGACAACACAGAATGAGGACTTACAGGCCGGCTCCTCTGACCTCCTAATTGTAAAGAGGACAAATTAGCTGGGGAGGGTGGGCCGGAAGGAGTGGGGAGAGGGCTGAATTGTACTCAGAAAGTTGGGAACAGAATCTTCATAATGAATCTGAATCTGGAACTTTCCATAACCCCATATGCTATTGGAAAAAAAGTCACTGGGAGCAGTCAGTCAATTCATTTTGGGTTAGCCTTGCCTGGAGACCCAGAGCAGGCTGGCCAGTGGGAGGGGTCCTGGCCCCTGGGACCCCCAAGCCCCTGCCGGCACCAGAAGTGATGTCTCTATCTGTCCTAACCCACCTTTCGGGTTAGCACCTTCCAGGCTTCTTTGTAAGCATTGCTGGGTGACTCACTGGCAGCACCATGTGGAAAACAGCATTGGGGGGAAGTCAGTTGCAAACTGTCCTAAGCTTCCAGAGTAGAGGGACCCTAAGGGGTGCTGGGGGGCTCAGAAATTCCAGGCCTGGCAAAGTGAAAGAGGATGTGTGGTTTATTAGTGATGCTTTCCCCCTTCTGACTCTGCTTTAGTAACCTGAATGGCAAGTGAGCTATTACTTCCTCGGAGGGACCGAGTCACCGAGCCGGTGGTGTGGACTGACGGGCGCAGTCTCACACTCCGGGCCAGCAAGAGCAGAACTCGGGGTGGGAGTGTCCCCGCCACATCCAAGGCGCGGGAGGGGACGTGGCCCGGTGGGGTGGTGCTGCTTTGGAGAAGAGGCCTCTGTGGGTTTCTATCTATCAGTTTGTCCTGGATGGCCTCGCCTGGAACAGCTGTTCCCGGTCTTCCGGAGGAGGAAGGTTGGGTGGTGGGTGGGGAGGTGAGATTGTTTCCCATCTGTCTTAGAGTTTTGTTTTTTTTTTGGCTAATAGTCTATTGGGCAAATTCAACAAACCTGCGTGGACGGCCTTTTCCTTGTGGCCGCTGGGGCCGAAGGTGGGAAGACAGGAGGAGCCGGGGGTCCTGGGGGTTCCGGCAGGAGGCGCCCGCCTGTTCACTGTTCACCCGCCTCCGTCAGCAGCTGCTTCGCGCTCCCTCCTGGCGTCCTCAGACCAGCCGGGCTGGGGGCAGAGACACAGAAACAGCGGGGTTCTTTCCCCTGCACATCGCACAGCCCGGGATGGGGCGAGGGAGGGCGCCCCGCCCGCCCGGGAGCCCGCTAAGGCTGCTCAGGCTTCGCTGCAGGCTGCAGGCGAGGCGGCAGAAAGCGAGCCGAGCGCCAGGGAGACAGGAGGGTTGCGACTGGAGTTTTAAGGATTTGTCACCGGTTCTAGGAATGCAAATCAGAAATGTCTTTTCTTGGGAGGGGGAACTGACACCTCAAAATTTCAGTAAGTCGGGCCATTGGAATCCGGCTCCGGCTCCGGTAGAAGCTGCTCCAGAGGGAAAAGCAAACACTGCAGCCCCACGCTAAGCGTCAGGGCGCCTGCCCCCCAGGGCAGAGGGCACACGCGCACTCTTGCGGCCAGCAGTGACCCCCGTTATCATAGTTGTACAGGCGACGCGAGGCTTCTGCTCAGGAGTGTCTGCTGCCTGGCGGGTTTGCCCGACAGGCGGGCTCAACGTGGGCAGTCTAGTCCCGATAGTGGGGGCTTCTCCACTCCACAGGTTCTTCTGCTTCTTTCTCTGAAAGGCCTCCCCAGGTCAGACCTTCCCCCCACGTCAGGCGGTCACCTGCACCCTCCTAGGCGCCGGCGCCCCGGTCCCCTTTATTGACTTTCCATTGGAGGACGCTGGCTGGAAACAGTCCCCCAGATGGTCTAAGATAGCAAGTCTAAAAATAATTTCTCCTTCGCTTCACATTCACTGCTGCTGCTGTTATTGTTTGCCCAGAGCAGCCTCCCTCGATGTCTGAGAACCTGCAGCACCTACAGACCACAGCAGGCTGGGGGCCCCCGACGTCTGGCTGTGGCAGAACCCCCCTGGGCCGGGGCTGCAGGTCTGGGTTTTGATTTCTGCTGTGCAGAATCATGAAATTACCCTTAATGATGATGTTTTTTTTTAAATGGATCCATTTAAAAGGCAGGGAAAGCACTTCTAAAGAGACGAGATTAGAGAATTAGTGGGTCAGATGCTTCTGGGTCTGTGGTCTCCACAGGGTGTGAGGCTGGAGAAGGTTTGCAAGGTCCCCTGCCAGGCCCTCATGTCACAGCCCGCCTGCAGCCAGCAGAAGTGAGACCCACCCTGTGCCCACAGCTCCTGCTCTCTGCCACACGTTCTGCAGGGTGGACGCGAACCACTTGTCTGTAGTAATCTTAACAAAAACACCAAAGGCGAGGTCACAGGAAATCCCGTCAATTGTCCCAGAGGGTGTTAAACTGAGAAGATTGTAAATATGCTCAATTCCCCTAGCTTGATTTAATAACCGGGCCTCTGGCCTGTGAATTTATACAAGTCATTCTGGAATCTCTTTTTATCCTTTGCTTCTTTTCAGGAAAAGCACATACAATCCGTTCAAATGTTTTCCCTTCTCTTCTTGTTCCTTGGCAAAGTAGGAGAATTCCTGAGATTCACTTTTGCTTTATTATTTGCTGCATGTTTGATTTGGGGTGGGGACCACTTAATTAGTACTTCCAAAGCCTGGCCTCCTCAGGGTGAGTGGGAGTAACAAAGGATGATTGTCTGGACGGCGGCACATGCAGGAACTAGCAGGAATCCGGCAGGCTGTAGGGGACCGGAAGCCCTTCTCTTCTCAGCCCTAGCCCCAGCTCCATGGGGGGTGGGGTGTGTGTGGGGGAGACAGACTTCGGGTTTACTGTTATTTTTCCATATATTACCCCACTGACTGCTCTTTCAGGTAGCTTCCGAGGGCTTTCCCTGTCTTTCTGGAATCCAGAGGCAGATATGATATTTTGGATTTAGGAAACTCTTGGGGAGATAAGTAGAGATAAAGATTAGTTTGTCTAGTCAGACTTGGTCTACTATAATCCGAGCTTCTTTCTAACAGGTGAAGCTGCAGAGGGAACCCTCAGCTCTGGGGCCCAGACCTGGTGTTGCTACCTACCTACCTACCCACCCATCCATCCGTTCATCCATCTATGTATCTATTTCTGTTTACCTGTCTTCTTCTAAATCATCAGCATTGTCAGTCACCACCGTCTTTACTCTTTTCTCGTAGAGTTCCTGTTGTCTTTCCAAAACCACACAGATTGTAGAAGATGGCATCTGTGATTCAAATCCTGCCTCCACTGCATACTATTCATATAACCCTGGGTAGTAGATTCAATTTCCCTCATCCTCAGGTCTGTCCACCTGGATGGAGATAATGGTGTTCTGTTCGCAGTGTGGTATGAAAAGTAGGCACCTTACAAAGAAAGTCTAAACACAGTGTTGGCCACAAAGTAGGGGACAAGAAGTGACTTCTGACCTGTCACATCATGTCAGGCTTGGGCTCATCTGCAGAGTGGCTGGCAACTGAAATTACAATAACTCCTGTGCCCATGTCTCAGCCTTTCCTTGGTTGATGACAGATAACTTGCAATGCATTCATTTACATAGGTTATATGCAAATATATGCAAATATAACCTATTTCAAATTTAGAATTGTTTTCTCGAATAAAGTAGCTTTGCCTAAATACGCATCTACCATGTTCTTGGTGTCATACAAACATGTCTTTTAGTAGCTGCTTCTCATCGTTTTGCAATTTCTTTTCTCAGAAGAACTAAACATTTTCCCCAGATGCAGAGATTTCATTGTATGCTTCTGTCTCGTGAACTGGTCCCCTTTACAGGGGAAAGCAATCTACCCAGGCTTCGCTGACTGAATCTGCTAAGATAACTTGTCAAATGTGTTTGAAAGTCTAAATCAAAGAAATGCTTTGTTAGTTTCTGGCTGGCGTCTCATCTACTAATAGCATTTAAGTAGACTTAGTGGAGAATGTTTTCCTTGCACAGACATGGCTTCCCCCCTTCTTACTGTGGTGCTTCCTGGAATATTCAGTGATCCCATGTGTTATAAATATGAAATGCCCTTGAGCTTGTCTGTGTCTGCGTCTGGACCTCAGCTTAAAGCGATGGGCAGCCTTTTTAACTCTCTAGCTCTTGGTCAATATGTTACCTTGGGTTTTGCATTATGGCCAACATTTTCTGCTCAAGTTTCCTAACAATTTGGAATTATAACCCTGTGTGCACTGTACTTAAAGGCCCTGAGTAGTTCCCACTGTTAGTTCTCTTTTCTCCAAAAATCAATTGTGGGATTAGGGCTTTGAGTAAAGCATCATTTCAGGCTTCCTGCTCTCTTTTATTTTCATCTGGAAGGAGCTTTGAACCATAAAAATCCAGGCATCCTACTGATCTTAGCGCTGGCTCTCTGCCTTTGATGCTTTTAAAGAAACTCTCCGCTTGAATGAAACAGCACCCACTTAAAATATTATCTCTAGCCCAAGCTTCCGCCAGAGGAAGAGGGGTACGCTTCAAAAATGATCACTTTAATGTTCAACATCAAAATTATCTGGTGAAGACACTGTCCCAATTCTGGGACAGCCAAGGTCAGCTTCGTCACAGAGAAATGTATGCCCATGATACCGCTGCATTGTGA